CTCAGTAATAAAATTCTTGAGCCACACACCTTCCTTGGCTGCCTCGGCTGCAGCCATGTACTCTGCTTCTGTAGTGGAATCAGCGGTAGTATCTTGCTTGTAACTCTTCCAGGTAACAGCTCCGCCATTCAAACAAAACACATACCCTGCCTGCGACTTGAAGTCATCTCTATCAGTTTGGAAGCTGGCATCAGTATATGCAACAATACTGAGCTCTACTTTTCCGCCATATACCAGGAAGGCATCCTTAGTCCTACGGAAGTATTTAAGGATGTTCTTCACAGCCTTCCAATGGCTTTCGCCAGGGTTGGACTGGTATCTACTCGTGACACTCAGAGCAAAGGCAACATCAGGTCTCGTACATACCATCACATACATGATGGATCCAATGGCCGACGCATAAGGAACATTTCTCATGCGTTCTACTTCCTCCGGAGTGGAAGCACCCTGAGTCTTGGAAAGACTCGTGCCTTGGGCCATAGGCAAACTTCCTCGTTTCGACTCAGACATGCTGAATCTAGCGAGGACCTTGTCTATGAATGTACTTTGACTGAGACCTAACAGCTTCCGTGATCTATCCCTATAGATCCTTATGCCAAGTGCATAACTGGAATCTCCCAAGTCCTTCATAGAGAAACTCTTACTCAACCACGTTTTGACGGTGGTTAAAGTAGGAATATCGTTTCCTATGAGCAGTATGTCATCAACATACAAAGCAAGGAAGACTACAGCACTCCCACTGACCTTCTTGTATACACAAGATTCATCCGAATTTCTTTCAAAACCAAAACCGATGACAGTAAGCGGATGTTCCAACTCCGTGAGGCTTGCTTCAATCCGTAGATTGATCGCTGCAACTTGCATACCTTGGTAGATTCTTCAGGAGCGCAAAACCCTTCAGGTTGTGTCATAAAGACATCCTCAAGGAGGTTTCCATTAAGGAAAGCCGTTTTGACATCCATCTGCCAGATTTCGTAATCATGGTATGCTGCGATAGCAAGTAAGATCCGAATGGATTTAATCATGACAACTGGAGAAAAAGTTTCGTCATAGTCGATACCATGTATTTGACGATATCCTTTTGCTACCAATCGTGCCTTGAAGGTTTGCACCTTACCATCCATGTCAGTCTTCTTTTTGAAGACCCATTTGCACCCAATGGGTTTGATCCCTTCGGGTGCATCAACCAAAGTCCATACTTGGTTGGTGTACATGGAATCCATTTCGGACTGCATGGCTTGACGCCATTCCTCAGCCTCGGGACAACTGATTGCCTCGAGGTAGGTCTCCGGCTCATCCTGGTCGATAAGCATTACGTCACCCTCAAAGGTTAGGAGGAATCCATACCTTTCAGGTTGTGTGCGTAACCGGTTAGACCTACGGGGTTCTTGTGTATCTTGAGCATTTTGAGGTACAACAGTTTGTTCCTCTAGCTCATGTTCCAGAACCGGCGCGGTAGTTTCTTC